TAAATTTATGAAGGAAGAGACACAGCAAAGTCAAATTGTTTTCAATGGAAGAGGAGCTTTTAAAATTATATAGAGCTTTATTCTGAACTCTATAAAAACCCACACTCCCATGCATATACCCACAAAGACATATCACACCTGTTCATAATTAAAACTATGAAAAGGAAAAGGCTTAAAATAAGTTGCAAGGTCTTTTTTAACATTGCAATTTATTTTTAAGGCATCAAAGAAAGAAGAAATACACAGAGAATGGTGTATAAAATTTGTTGCAACTGTATAGTGAATGATTAATGAAAGACAGGCAGAACAGTGAACAGAAGTAGCAAAATCTACGTCGTTATACCTAAAATGGTATTCATAACAGCCATGAGCTAGGCAGTGAATAAATACAAGATTGCTAGATAGAAAACAAATGCTAGAGAGGTAACACTTGATAGTAAAATGGAAGCTATATGGTGAAGTGTGGAAAGCTAATATGTGATAGATAATGGGTAGATGACAGATAAGCAGGTTGACAGATAGATGACAGAAGATGGATAAAGCTGTCAGTAGCAGGTGCCATATCACCATAATTACAAAAGTATCATTTTCTTCTGTAAACAACTTATAAAATCTTAGCCTTGTACAACCTATTATTTAATGTATTTCCATTTGCAATTCCTTCTTTAGGGATTTATGTGTGTTTTCAAAGTTTTGATCTCACGTGAGTTCACAGAAATACCTTCTAGTTTGCTTTTTGTCCTTTTAAATTTCTATGAACAACTTTTATTCTTCACACAGCATGCTTAATCACTACCAAGATCACTTTAATTTACACATCTACAAACAGAAGAGTCATTCACTCTTTAACAGTTCCCAATGTGAACATGAACCCTTTACTAACTATCCAAATACAAGATGATCACTGAGTGAACTTCTAATGAAGATTTTCTTAAGTGCAATGACAGTAATGAGATGGACAATGAAGATCATTGTTTTCTTTAATTCTGCACACAGAAGAATCACCAGGAGAGCTTGTTAAAGCAAAGATTCCTAGACCCAATGGCCCACAATTGTAACTCAGCTGCGCTATTACATTTTTAATAAGTTCCCAGATGATGTTTGTAGACAGCAAACCCTTCTCTGTATATTCATGAGAGAGGTGCAAATCAGTGCCTTCTGTAGGACTCTCTTGCTTCGCATCATTCACTGACATTAAATTGAAAGGACCCAATGATTCTGAGTTGAAAGGTGATTTATGTGTTTCATCCCATAGTACACTAAAAATCTTAAGATCAACCCTTTTCTTGAGAGCCATGAATATCTTGTGATATATGTATGTATATGTGTATATATATATGTGTGTGTGTGTGTGTGTGTGCATGTGATATGTATGTATAATATGTATGTGTATGTAAGTATATATGTGTATATATAAAGTTATTTACTTTCAAAATAAATATGGAAATAATTTATAAAGAGTTTGCATACATTTTAAAAATTCATATATTTAATAGCAGATATAAGATTTTCTACATTACATGCTCTTAGCTATTTATTTATAGTGTTATTCAGTTTTGCATAATAGTGACTCAAGTATACAATATTTAATCTCCATACTGATATTGTAATACAAGTCAATAGATCATTTTTTGCAAAACCAGAAACAATTTTTTAGAATGTTTCAAACTCCTATGACATTGACGAAACATTGAATTTGCCCTTTCAGTCTTCACAACTGGAAAAACAAATTTTCATTGCTTTTGGCCCTTGTTGCTAATTAGATGAGATGGTTCTACAGAAGCAGCAGAAGCTGCTCACTGGGGCCTGTGCCCCTGATCATGTCGGCACTGAAGCGAGGTTGTCTAATAATACTTTACAGTAGAAATTATTAATCACCGAAGTCCATACATCACATGGAAAAGAGGTTGGAATGAGAGAGTAAACCAGTTTTAGAAGGGACATTAGATACTGTTGGTAAGGACCTGCATGTCCACGATAAAAGCACTGATAATTGGAAAAAATGCATAGAGTAACAAAATACTTTATTGAAACATTGAAAATGATTAATAGGGAATCCAGATGATAAGTATACAGGTATTCCACTAGACTCTTCTCAAAGACAACAGAGTTCCTTTTGTGTGGTAGTGACACATGTATCTGAAAGAATCCTTTAGAGGAGTTCGTTTCAGAAGGTTCACTTCATCATTATGGCCCCCTGCAATCCAGGTACAGGGGAGGGGGTGTTCAGCCAGAAGAGATAGTTTGTAGAAGTGTGAATAAAAGAGGACTCTTCACTGTGTGGCTGAGAAGAAGCAGAGAAGAACCCAGTGAGGAACCAGGTACAATATATTGAGACCTATACCCTTCAGCTCGAAAACTTGAAGCATCCAGACCTCCCCCAAGTAGTGCTACCAACTGGGAACCAATCTTCAACACATTAGGAGGTTTAAGAGGTACTTCATATCAAAGTATAATGAGGTTATAAGGCTATATGTTCAACTATTAAGCATCATTTTGGGAAAACATGTTTTTAGGACTCTTGGCAAGAAATAAATAACACTTAGACAAATACTATAATCAGAACATAAAGATTTAGCCTAAAGGCAAAGAAGTTGAGAATGGTCCAAAATCTTGTGTTGAATGTAGGGGTTGATGACTGTATCACAGAACATCTCAGAGCTATAATCGTAAATGTGAAGACCAGTTCTTTCAAGCAATAAACCTCCTGAAAGTCTTAAACAGGTCATGTCCTCATAGATTTTTCAGGGGTTCCAAGGTATAAAAGAGCTTTTAAAAAATCAATTGGGTTTGATTTTGTCTTGTGGAGTACATTGTAATTTGATATAAGAGGCTGCCAGACTTTTAAAGAAATTATATTAAATTGTGTGGAAAAAAATGTCAAAACCTGTTTTTGTTAAAGAGGCTTTTGTACCCATCAAAAGCTACAGATAGGATGGTAAGATGCACACTGGGTGAGAAAAGAAGGGAGGATATAGAGGATGAAATAAAGAGAGAACACAGGTCACTGGGCTAGATCTGCAGTAAATCATCCCTGGGCAATGAAGCTAGGCTAATGAGGGAACTGTCACCATATTCTGGGCAGGAATGCCAAGCTGCTGGGCACAGAGGACACAGGCAAGTTTCTTTCTCCTTTTTGGTGACGGTGTGCTTCTTGACTTCAACTGGGTGTTTTGTTTCCAAATCTTACAATGCACGACTTCTTATGAGCTTCTCCTATGATTGTTGTTGTTGTTTATCAATTAAAAATGCTGTTTTTCAGAGTAGTTCAGTTATTCACAACTTACATGTAGTTGTGGTTTTATTAGTAGAAAATAATGGAAGCAGATGCAAAGATCCACAGCCAAGCACCAGGCTGACCTCCAAGAGTCCAGTCAAAGAGAGAGAGGAAGGATTCTATGAGCAAGGGGCATCAAGATCATGATGGGGAAACCTACAGAGACAACCAAACCAAACTAGTGGGAACTCATAAACTTTAGACCAACAGCTGTGGAGCTTCCATGGGACTGGACTAGGCCATCTGCATAAGTGAGACAGTTGTGTAGCTTGATCTGCTTAAGGGGCCCCTGGCAATGGGATCAAGATTCATGTCTGGTGCATGAGCCGGCTTTTTGGAGCCCACTGACTAAGGTGGGACAACTTACAAAGCCTTTTCGCAGTGGGAGGGGCTTGGACCTGCCTCAACTGAATGTACCAGGATCTGCTGACTCCCCATGGGAGGCCTTGCCTTGGAGGAAGTAGGAATCAGGGGTGGGTTGTGGGGAAGGCTGAGGGGTGAGAGGAGGAGGGGGAGGGAGATCTTTGATTGGTATGTAAAATGAATAGAAAACTTCTTAATACTAAAAAAAATTAAAATAATTAATCAAAAATGTAAAAAAAAGTGAAAAAAAAATACAAATATATTTAAACTTGTAATTGATAAAGAATCCTCTTGTTAAAATTCACCAGTTTTGCCATTGTTGATGTGGGGAGTGTATGACGCAATATCAAGTGCTCTGTCACTTGAAAATGAAGTTTCTCTGTAGTATGTTTGTATGACTTAATTTAGAGTTAGGTAAATTTACCTAAATGTGCAGCTTTACAATTTACTTTTCATACTTGATTAGTGTTTATTCTTAAAACTGATAAATCATTTGCAAGAATTAAAATCAATCAAGAGTTATGCATTAAAGAAATCATGTCTCAACACAATTTTAGTTTTCTAGAAAGCTAGTTTCAACACACTCAGAACCATGAAGAGCACACTTCCAGAAGCTTTATCTCCTTTAAATAGATAATCTCACAGTATTTTATACACCTACTTACAGATAATTCTCAGAAACACAAATATTTTATTTTTGAGTATATACACATAAAAGCGATTTATTAAATTTGAAGTGTCTATTCTCTTTGTATTTAGAAATGTATTCCTCATGTAAGGTGGGTGAACATAGAGTTACATAAGTAAATGTTATGATTTATCAGGTACTCTCACTACAAGAATCTAAGCTCATGTTAATGAGAATATCACTCTGTCATATCTAATCCTGTAAAGAACTGAGACTTCAGTCTGAGACAAAATGACACACAGAACACAAAGACTTGGAAAACAGACACACACATGAACATGCAGACACAATACACCCATGTTAGACACAGACACACACGTGTACAAATGTCTTCAGACATTTGATTTAACAAATGCATTAAGAACCTTACAAACGTTAATGATAATTTAAAAACACTATTATATGCTGACTCATTAATATGCATATTTACTATAATAAAAGTGTAACTAAATAATTCAAAACATTTTGTTCACTTAAAAGTGACAAAATTAAATTCATTACATACTAACATAAAAATATTTTTAGCAAAAACAACCACATTTTCCAAAAGGAAAACACAAGGCAAGCAGAGAGGTAAAATTGCACTCCATTTTTTTTTTTTTTGTTTTTTTGTTTTTTTAGTGTTTAAAACATGTAACTTTTTTTAATCTCATCTGTATTTACCTTTTAAAGTAGAATATGACCAAGCACTATATTTCCATTCAGACTTGAAGGGTTACAAGACCTAGGGAAGCATAGGGTTTTGTTCTCAGTACTTTGGAAAACAAGCCACATGGGGAATTCTTCTGTTTTAGCTTGTATTCTTCTAAGACTACAACATGCAGAATGACTACAGGGGATGAAAAATTTTAAGATGAAACTTAAGCCATCTTAATTTTTTCCTTTTAAACATGAAGCTAAATCTCAGAATACTCCCAAGTGACAAATTATTTGGTCTACTAAGGAATCCAGCTTCTGAACAGCTAAACACTTCAGACCACAAAGTTATTAGGTTACATTACGTCTTAACAACAAACGTTCTACCAACCTGCTGAATTAAACCTATAGTATCATAGTATCACAAGTAGAAAGAAATTTTATCTTCCCCTTAGTTTACATGCCACACAGATGTTTTAAATGTTAACAAAAATAAACAAAAATCCTGGAATATATATTATCAGAGAAGGAATGAAGGTAAGCGTCAAACAAAGTTCTGGTGAAGTTTAGTCTACTTCTTCCATGCGCAATGTGTCGTCATCTTCTTCCAGGGGTGGCATCTCTTCAGTTACAGCAGCAGTGGTATCATCCACAGTAGGATCATCTTCATCAATACCTAGACCAAGCTTGATCATTCTGTAGATCCTGTTAGCATGTGTCTGGGGATCTTCCAGACTAAAGCCAGAAGACAGGAGTGCAGTTTCATACAACAAGATGACCAGATCCTTCACAGACTTGTGATTCTTGTCAGCCTCTGCCTTTTGCCGTAGGGTTTCAATAATGGAGTGGTCAGGGTTTATCTCCAGGTGCTTCTTTGCTGCCATGTAACCCATTGTTGAGTTGTCTCTGAGGGCTTGAGCTTTCATGATTCCCTCCATGTTTGCTGTCCACCCATATGTGCTCGTGACAATACAGCATGGGGATATCACCAGTCAATTTGATACAACCACCTTTTCAACCTTTTTCTCCAAAATATCTTTCATAATTTTGCAGAGGTTTTCAAATTTTGTCTTTTTCTCTTCCTGTTTCTTTTTCTCCTCTTCATCTTCTGGGAGTTCCAGTCCTTCTTTGGTAACTGACAC